TTCTCACATATTTGTCGTCAGTAATGGCGATTATGTGTCGCGTTTGAGTGTGTGATTGGTGACTTCTCTTTCGAGTGTGTTGCTGGTGACCTCTCTTACTTACCACTTGGTATCGGCAGCGGCAACCGACCGGGAGTCTTCACCTGCGCAAAAGGTGGCCCTGTTTGTAGGAGCAGTACGTCAACAAGGATCAAGTAGTATCCGTCGGAGTAGTCGAAGAAGTTGAGTGACTATACGAGGGCGTTAGTATGAATACCGGCGGCAATCCCGGTGGACCAAGCGACGGAGGGAATGGAGAAGGAGGTGAAAATCGGAATGGTGATGGTGGGTTTGGCGGTAACGGAGGAGGAAATGGAAACTGGAGTGGTGGCGGGCCAAGCAACAGTAATGGAGGTGGGAACGAAGGTAACTGGAACGCTGGGAATTGGAATAATGGAGGAGAAAACGAAAATGGTTGGAACAACGGAGGGAGTACTGGTTGGAATATGAGTGATGGTGGGAGCAATGGCGGAGGTAATAAGTGGAACCCATGAGAAGGAAATTGGAACGCGGGAGGACGAAACAATGGTGGGGGAGGAGGCAACTGGAACAATGGTTCCAGTAATGGAGGCAGTGATTGGAAACGCTCGGCGAAGTGTTACAACTGTAACCAGTTCGGACATATCAGTCGGGAGTGTAATGCTCCACGACAAACGAGCCACCACAGAGGAGGTGGAGGAGGAGGTCGCACTTTTCAAGAAGGAGCGAGCAGCTCTGGTACATCGAACGAACCTGCAGCGGCGACAGGCCTGAGTAAGGATTTGGAGGAGTCACTAAAAATGGTGTGTTTTTATACCAACAGGAAGATTGAGAAACAGGAGAAACGCGAAGCGGAGATGAGAGAAGCAGAAGAAAAAAGAAAATGAGAAGAAGCGGAGAAAGCACTAAAAGAGGAGAAGAACCGTTTGGAGATTGCGAAGCAAAAAGCCAAGGATGACAAGGAGGCGAAGCGAGAATGGAAAATGGAGCAGCTATTAGCCAAGCACAAACAAACGCTGCATGAAGAATTCGAGGTGATGTTCGAAAAACGATTGCGGAATGCCATCGTGTCTCAGAGAGCAGTGAAGGGAAAGGACAAGGTGGAATCCAGCGAGGATGAGGAAGAGGAGGAAGAGATGGGGGACCGATTGGAGAAGAGGAAGCGCCAACCAACTGTATCATGTATGATTAATCCTCCGGAGGAATCTCCGTCGAAGGTGGGGAAAGCCTCCACGTCGGTACATCGAGGAGCTCATGAGGAGCCGTCCCCAAGACTGGGTGTCCCGAGAAGGAGCAGAGTGGATGGTGAGAGGGAGAGGATGTATCCTTATGTGGATTCCCCGCTATGGGAGGGCGCCCCCTCAGCTGATGAGTTTACGGCAACAATGGCGTTTAGGAAAGTGATCCGGAAATTTGGCAAGAAACTGAAACCTACGATTGAGGAGATGTGCCGCGAAGCAGGTGTTGTGTATCACGGTAGACCCAAGGCAGTGGACGAACTGGTGGAAATCAGAGTTATGTACTTCAACATCGATGGAAATCAACCTCCAGCAGTAGCACCAAGGCAAATAACTCCGAGGCAGCGAGGTGGCGGAGTTGTCATCAGAGAAGTACGGGAGACCTTGCGCGAGATAGCGCCGGACCCGTTAGCTGACGTGCCTGCCCCAGGAGGTAATGACCCCCGTAATAACGGATCGGTGGAATGAACTTCGTAAGTGCCTGCGTTTACATAGGTTATTTAATGTAGATCCTAATATTGTGACCAAGAGGCTACGTGAGATGCTGGAATGTGTGCTGAGGTATTTATTTCTCCTATTAGTGTTGAAACGTGAAGTCCAGTGGGGTAATAAGTACGTGGAAACGTGGTGTAGTTTAGTTGAAAACGACGAGGAGAAGTGGGATAGTCCGGGATGTTGCGTCTATATGTTGATCAACCCGGAAGTGAGGGCGGTGTATATTGGGCAAACGAGTCGGAAACTGAGTATTCGATGGGATGAGCATGTTAGTAGAGCAAAGACTCAGGGGAGTAATCGAAATTCCAGATTGTATAGTTGGCTGAGATATAAGGGTTCCGATAATTACGTGGCTCTACCTCTAGCTTTCGTCCCGTCGAATGATCTCGAGAGAGTGGAGAAAGTCTTCCTAGGTAAATGGTCTCCGTGCTTGAACTCGAAAGGGATTAAGAGGAAAAATGGTGGGAAAGGTGGAAAAAGTAGGAAAGGACGAAAGGAAAGGAAACGAGCGTGAAATCTAGGAACGAGCAACCTCTTGTGTTTTCCACTGAGGGTTTGAGGACGGTCAAGTTAATCGAGGCATGTAAAACAACATGGAAAGGGGACAAGCAGTTTCGATCAGAAGGAGGGACGTCATGGGGTCAGGGATGAGACGTCGTTGTGAAGGAAGTGGGTAGAAGTAGGGTTAAAGGTGATGGGAGGATTATGTCTGTCAAAGATGCTCGGAAGAATCTGGAACAAGGGGGAGTTTTCGAGATCGTGAAGTTGGAAGGGAGAACTCTGTCCAAGGAGAACGCTGATCTGAAACGGGAGTTGCATCAGATCATTCGTAACAAATGGTATAAAAAGAAACTGTATAAGTATGACTTGGATAAATTGGTACGACTGACATCTGCGATCAGCCTGTTTTTCAGGGCAGGAACCCAAGCTTCCCTGAGGGATACGTTGGCCGGTGTCATTTGGCAGAAATATAATTTTAATATTAGGAAACAGTTTTGTGTTGGGGTGACGTACGATCAAGCTTTGTCAAGTTGTGCTATTTGAAAATTAGTGGTCAGTAAAATTCATGATACCCTATCTGAATCGCTAGCGACGTTTGCGTGTCGGAGGCTACTAATCACGTGGAAGAAGAATCGCTCGGTTGGATCACCGACATGCTTCACAACAGTTGGTGGGAGTTTGCCTTTGTGCAAGCAGCGCCCTCCCTAGTGTGGAGGGTTACGTTTCATGTCGTTTAAGCGAGGTAGATGAGATCTCTGATTTTGTGAAGAATGCAAGAAACATTCCGCATCAGTCGGAGCCAACTCGGGTAAGATCGGTTATGCAAGAAGTGAATGACAGTCTGAGTAAAATGGGTGTAGAAGCTTTGGTTGGATTGCATGAGATTCGGGAGTGTGTTAGGAATAAGAGGACGAGACTTCCTCAGGATAAGGATTTTGAGAAGGTGAGGCAACTCTATTCCGGAATGGTGTGCTCGACAGTTGACCGAAATCCTGCAGAGACAGCTATTATGTGTCCTACAGTCTATGAGAATGCAATGGAAAGAACTTTTTGGGATAATGAAAGCTTCTCTGCTGTCTGGGAATTGGAAGCGAAAGTGATGACTAGATATGAGATGGAGTATAAGCAGCGAGGACTGAATGTGTGCCTGGGAAAATGGGACAAGAATGGCAGATGTGGTCGAGCTTACGTTATCTCGAAGAATAAGGATATAAGTAGGTTTGACCTATTAGCCCATCTTTCACGGAGCCCACGCGCACGGCTGGACGACGATCTGATTGGTTGTTTTGCGGGTCTGCCCAAAAAGACGACCAACCCTATAGCGTGACGCTCCCCTGTTTGCCATTCCCCTCCAGGAACAAGCCCACCTCCCATTTCTGATTTTTCTTTCGCACTGGGATAAATAGCATGGCGTTCTGCGACAACGGGCCAGCATCCTGACCCATCACAACCACCTGTCTAAGTTTTCTCTTCCGCACCAGGTCTAATTGCGCGTTCTCATCCGGTGTCAGGCGGCCACAAGTTTGGGTAAAATTGAAGGGTTGTGGGGAGTTGACGGGAGCGGCGTTTGACATTAAAGAAATGTTTAGTCAGTTACTGCATAATTCTATTCGAAACGCAGTGGAATGGTTGTTAGACTGGTACAGGGGGAGAGGAAAATCAAGTGTGAGTGTGAAAAGAAGGGGGAAAGGGGGAGCTCTGGCAGCAAAAGTGGGGGATGAGTCATGGATGGAGGTAAGCTTTGACACAGTTATGGAGATGGTTGACTTCGAGTTGAGGCATACGTATGTGTTCGCCTCGAACCGTTCGATTCATCAGCATGTTGGGATACCGATGGGGAAAAGTAGCAGCCCCCCGCTTGCATGTATCTTGTGCTCTTTTAATGAGAGTGTTTTTCTGCGGAGTCTGGGAAAGGATAGGTGCCTTGTCAAAGGCATCAGACTCATTGATGATGTGTCCCTGTTTATTTGGTGTCCAAGAAGACATGGGCAAGTACGAAAGGACATGATCTTACGTAAGTTCTTGAATACATATGATGATCGACTTATCCTCAAAAGGACGGATGAGGAGGAGGGTGAGTGAGATTTCCTCGGCACGAAGGTGAAAATCAGTAGCAACGAAGCAAGGTGCTATTGTTATCCAAAGAATTTTGATAATGTATGGAATAAAGAGGATTTCTCCTTTCGCGCAATACATGACTTCGACTCGTACTCGACTACCAGACAAAAGAAGGCGGTTATTACCTGTACCCTGCATAAAATTCAGAGGATGACGACCAACGACGAGTTAGTGGGACTGAGTCTACTAACCCTGAAGAGGCAATTGCGTTTGCAGAAGTACCCGGCCTGGGTTTTCAATAAGTGCTTATGGAAATTTGTGCAGACGAAAGCCCCGTCATTGGAAAAATGGGGCAGGAGATTTGGGGGTTGGTAGGAACTGTTTTCGGTCAGTGATTTGTTTGTTTTGATTAAGTCAGGAGACGGTGTTCAAACCCGCGACCCGTAATAAGCTTAGAGGGTGGGGTTTTGACAAAGAGTTTGCGGAGGAACTGGTCTCGAACCGGTGTTTCTTGTTTGCCAGATGGGTTAGCCGCAGTGAAACAGCCGGTACGGATCATTCGGGAAGTATCGCGCGAAAGTAACAGGCTGGAGTAAGCAACCTGGGACAGGTTAGGCGACGTAGAGTAGGCAGGAGTGGTGTGGTCGGCAGGTAGTGTAATGATGAGACAATTGGGTATAAATAAGATAGCAGTTCCTTCCTAAAGCATCTCGAACCCCCTGACGAGGCCGCTTACTGGCAGCGGCTGAAACTAGTAGGGGATCGCCAGTTCGACTCACTCTCCGGGTCTTCACTTATTTCTCGCGGCGGGAGGAGTTTGACTTACCGTGTATGGCTGCCACGGCTGCCATGCACGGGTGGATCTCGGTGTGTAACTCTGTTCTTCTWGAGATCGTTTHTTCGAGAATGTTTCTCACATATTTGTCGTCAGTAATGGCGATTATGTGTCGCGTTTGAGTGTGTGATTGGTGACTTCTCTTTCGAGTGTGTTGCTGGTGACCTCTCGTACTTACCAAATAGCCAGATGCAGCGGCAAATCGCAAGATGGCGGTTCATTTTTTTTTTTTGTTTTTTTTTTTTAAAGATGGCGGATCGGTTTTTGAGCTTGCCCGGCGCTCTCGACCCTCCGTTGTATGCCTTCGAAAAAGCTGTTTGAAACCGTTATATCCCTTCGAAAAAGCTGTTTGAAACAAAAAAATTCCTTTCCACACTCTCTCGACTCTCTCTCTATCCCTCCCCTTTGAACAAGAACGAACTTCTATCTATAACATCGCGCGGCAAATCGCAAGATGGCGGTTCGTTTTTTTTTTTTAATTTTAATTTAATTTTATTTTAGTTTATTATTATTATTATTATTATTATTATTATGATTATTTTTCAAGATGGCGATTCGTTTTTTGAGCTTGCCCGGTCCTCTCAATTTTTTTATTTTTATTTTTTTATTTTTTTAAAGATTGCGGTTAAGCTGTTCAATATGCCTTCGAAAAAGCTGTTTGAAACAAAAAAACCCTTTCCATACTCTCTCGACTCTCTCTATACCCCTATGCCTTGCCTTTACCCCTATGCCTTCGAAAAAGCCCTTTGCCGAAAAAGGAAAACAGGTCGCCGCCCATAAAAAAACCCGACCGACCTCATGAAACGACCGATTGAACAAACCCAGCAACGACCGGTCCGTCTCCTAGCCGCAACCGCACCCTTCCCGCCTCCCTCCTAAAGCCAAAAACACCCCCGCCAACCTCAAATGAATCCCACGACATTTCCCGAAAGGGAAAAAAAGGCTTGCAGTCAAGGTAAGCGCAGCCTCTTGCTGCGAACATCAGCAGTCTCTGCTCAGTGCCACTCGGGGGGACCAACGGCATATCTCTAGGTGGCAGGCGCCAAGCTTGCCCAGGAAGGTACATGAGGCCAATGGGGATTGAACCCAATCCCTGAATGCCACTTGCGTGCCTTTCCGTGTACTTCGTCTTTGGGCACTGCTTACGCGTATTGATGGCGTTTCCCCATCGCATGCTCAACGTGTTTCCCGTCCGTGATAAGTTGCATGTGTATCTGGTTATGAAACTCGCCACGAACGTGTTGGTTCCAGGCTTGTCGTTGGGGTTCAATTCAACAGCGTGGTCGTGTCTTGCTTTTTTTCCCTTCTGAAAGCATTATAGACATTTTTTTCTTTTCTGAATGTCTTGCCCAATTTTAGCCAATGGGCCTCGGTGCACTGCTCTCCACATGCACAAAAGACAAAAAAGACGGCGGTGTATCTTTCCATGTTCTAGAGGGCGATTCATTCTCATTTCGCACATTTGAGGAGTAGTGCAGCGAGGCCTAATTCCACCTTGCTGTTCCGTTCCCGTCTCTCTCTTGCTCTCTCTCTCTCTCTCTCTTCCCCCCCCAATATCTATCGAGTCTATGGATCTGCACAACGCAGATCTCATTCGCACTTGCACAGCGCTTCCTTCGTCTCTTTTTTCTTTTTCTTTTTTTCCCCCCCTTTTTTTATATTTTTATATCAACACGAGCAATTCATTCACAAACACTTTTTTTTTTTTTTTTTTCTGGAAACACAAATTTTCCCTTTTTCTGTTCCTGCTGGGTTGTTTTCGGTTCCACACCAGGCTCGGGCTGTCCGTTGTGAGAATTTGTAACTCAACGTGATGTGACGCAGGTTGGGACACGTTCTGCCGGTTTGCAGGCCTCCTAGCCTCAGCTCAGCGGTGTAAAACTCACCCGGGGCAAGGTCCCACTTGCACGGATTAAGAGATTCTGGCCGTTGATCTTTGCTATCTACGATCAGTATCGCTTAATCCGTGTAAGTGGGACCTAACCCCCGTCTGTCCCTCTCTGGTGGCTGAAGGTGGCCGAATGGTAGCGGTGGTTATTGACAAACACATCATCAGATCGAACTCATCCAGACTGTGCCTGATTGGCAATGGCAAGAAAATAACAAAGAAAAGGGCAGACCGCACTCATCAGGAGTAGGGGGGGCGAAGCGAACTGGGCTCATCATCGTCACATCACAAGCATAATATCGCATCAACGTCACATCACATCACAAGCAGAACATCGGAACAGAGGCCTCAGGTTTTGGACGTCCGTACCCGCCGAACTTGGCAAACTTGCCGTTGTGCTGTGTCGGCGCAGTTGAGGTTGAGGTATCAATCACTCTGCCAGCCGGCACAATCTAAGGTTCCGCCGGGTTCCGCCGGGTGGGTCTTGGGGCTGTTGTGCGGGGCAGCCTATGGGCAACGCACCTTTCGTCCTATCGGCGACCAGCCGTTGCGCCCGGCCATCCGTCGCAGCCGTCGCAACACACACGCACACCGTTACGCCCCAGCACCTCTGACCAGCCATCTTGCTCTGTTCATCGCAGAACGCTGCTGTGCGCGAGAACTCCGCGCGGGCAGCGGTGACAGACAAGAACAAGAAACCGCAGTGCGAGAGCGACGGGTTTCAAGCGACCAGCAGCAGGCGCGTTCGTGCGGGTTCGCGCGCGCGCGCGCGGGGGACTATGAAGTTCGTTACGTGTGCTTAGGCTTGTACGTGTGTTTGAATGCCACACACACACACACACACACACACACACAGAGGCGGCGCTTGACGGTCAAGAAGAGACACGTGTCGGCCATGCCGATTGGTGGGGATGGAGGAGGTGGGTCCGCGGAACCAATGGCAGTGGACGAGGCGGAGGCGGGAAAAGGCGGGACGACGGAGAATGGCTCCAAGAGCACAAACGGTGGCAGCGAGGTGGCGGGGGTGTCCGAGACCCCGACTTCGCGATCGCCCGCAGGTGGCGGGAGCAGGAAGAGAGGCGCAGGTAGACGAACTCCTGTCCCTAGCCCAGCGCCTAAGCGGCAAACGAGGAGGACGTCGGGCGGGAAAGCCAACTCATCTTCTCCTATTGCCGCCGGCGGCGTTGTGAACCTGACCTCGTACAGCCCCCCGCCGGAGCGTAGTAAAGAGGAGGGTGGTGGTAAGGAGGAAAAGAAGGTGGTGGATGGCGGTGAGAAGCAGGACGAAGCTGTGGATGATAAGAAGGGGGAGAAGGAAGAACAGGTAAAGGGGAAGGAGGGGGAGGAAAAAGGGGTAGGAGGGAAGACGAAGGAGGAGGGGAAGGAGCACGAAGAGGAGAAAGTGGAGGAGGGAGAGGAGGAGGAGGACGTGAATCAGGCGGGAAAGGCGGAAAAACAACAGGAAAAGAAGGCTAACGAAGAGAAAGAGCAGGCGGAGAGGAAGAAGGGGGGGGGAAAGGAGGTGGAGGTGCTGGGCGGGGAGAAGCAGCAGCAAGGAGGCGACGAAGAGGAGGTGAAGGTAATAGATTTAGAGGCTACGGTGGTGGCGGAGAAGAAAACGCCGCGGAGAGGCGGAGGGAGGAAACAAAAAGCGAAGCAGGCTGAAGAAGAGAGGAAGCAGAGCGATGATAAAGAAGAGGTGGTTCTGCTCGACGATGCCGATCAAGCTCAGCAATCAGACGAGGAGAAGGAAGGAGAGGATCAATCTGGCAAAGCCAGCGGGGGAGGTGATAGCTCCCAGCAGGCCAAGAAGTCGACGAGGCAAGGCAAGGGGGCAGCAGCCACAAAAACAACCCCTCAAGAGTCGGAAAAACCGGGCATCGATGTTCCCGATGGTGATTACTTCAACTTTGACGACTCGCGGGACGAAAAACTTATGAGTCAGGGTCAGATCTGGGCTCTCTACGACGACGAGGAAGGCCTACCTCGCTATCATGCCAAGATTAACAGGGTCTCTTTGAATCCTTTCAAGGCATCAATCACGTGGCTAGAGCGGACTGCTGCGGCGGAGAGCGAGGCGGCGGACGAGCAGTCGGAGGAGGGCAAGAAAAGCGGCGCTACTCCGAAGTCCCCGGCGAGCGCAGGCAAGAAGAGAGGCGGTGGCGGAGCTGGTCCCAAGAACGGAACCGTTACGACCGTAGCAGGTGAGAAATCGACTGATGATGAGATCACGACGACCGCTTGTGGACTGTACAGATTTGGGAAGAGGTCGGTGCAGAGCTCGATGACAGCCTTCTCGCACATAGTGGAATGGGAGAAGCGAAAGGATGGGGCAATCACAGTGTACCCTAGCGTAGGGCAAGTGTGGGCGCTAGAAGGGGGGGCGGGGAAGGGCGGGCGGGGAGGGGGAGGGGGCGGGGCCGGAAAAGGAGCGGCCACCGCGGGGCAAGAGGGGGAGGAGGAGGAGAAGGGAGCGAAAAAGTATCAGATCGTAGAGATATTAGGTGAGTGGAGTGAGAAGAAGGGGGTTTCTGTTGGCCTTTTAGAGAAGGTTGAGGGGTTTAATTACGTCTATCGTAGAGTCAGTGAACAAAAGGGGGTCGGAGGAGGAAAGGCCGGGGCCGGTGAGATGCAGATAACCCCAGCGGAGGAGGAGAGATTTTCTCATCAAGTCCCTGTGTATAGATTCCAAGGCGGCGAGTTGCCCAATGCGACCGAGGGGATGATCGAGCTTGATAGCGCGGCATTACCTGTGGACTTCGCTGCTTCCAATAAGTAGGGGAGACTGACTCTTTTTTCTCTCTGGCTCTCTGTTTGTTTCACTATCTCTCTCTCTCTCTCTCTCTTTCTCTTTCTCTTTCCCCGTGTCCTATTTTGTTACGGTCATTAATTCGGCCATTCTCTCTTGGACAGGCTGGCAGGGAGCGGGGGGCGGAGCGGGGGGGCAGATTACGGCGGGGAGCAAGTGGGAAGCTCAGTTGCGTGGCTGTACGCGTTTTGTTTGCCTCTCAACGTGTTTCTCGTTTCCCTCACTTTGCCCCAGGCGCTCCATTATTACTAATTAAAGCATGCAATTACACAAGAGAGAGGTCATGAGATTTAGGGTACAGCAGTCAAGGATGTGGGAGAGAGGGAGAGAGAGAGAGAGAGAGAGAGAGAGAGAGAGAGAGAGAGAGAGAGAGAGAGAGGGGCGGGAGGAGTAAGATAGGTCAGCAGGGTGTAATTTATCAGAAGGGGGCAGGACAGAAAGGTGACGTGGCTGAGTTGCGATGGCAGTGAGCTGATATTGTAAGAGGTAAATATTATCAGTGCGGGGAGGCTGCAGGTCCTTTACGTACATACAGGAGGAAAGCAACGAAAACCAAGGGGAGAGGGAGGGAGCGACAGGCTTCGGGGAAAGCTGAGGGAGTGTGTGTGTGTGTGTGTGTGTGTGTGTGAGAGAGAGAGAGAGAGAGAGAGAGAGAGAGAGTAGTGGGCAGATGCGTGAAATCTTTTGTTTAAAAAAATGGCCTTCGATGACGGCACCTTACCGGGGAATTGTGTTTTCGACATGTCCCGTTGTAATCGGCGCATGTGTCGTTATGTGTAGTGGATAAGACGCGGATCAGAGGAATGATTAGAGATAGGTAATCAACTGAGACGAACACATTGCTTAATAGCAAGAGATGTACTCCGGTGTGCGTTCGTGTGCGTTCGTGTGCGTGTGTGCGCACGCGCGCGCGCGCTCTAGAGAGAGAGAGAGAGAGAGAGAGAGAGAGAGCAATGATAGTAGATTTTAAGTATTTTCTCCTCCGTCTGCACGTCAGCGATATTTTATGTAATCCGCCTTGGTACTGCCGGACACGCTTAGCGCTTTGTCACAACAACTCGCTTGCAATGACCTCAGCATTGGATGGCAGCGAACAGTCGCTCGTCATAGTAGGACACATCTTTGAGCGTGCACGCGCTCTCGCATGTTTGCGCGAAGTTCATCACAGACACTCACACACACACACACACACACACAAGGAGAGAGAGGGGGGGAGAGAGAGAGAGAGAGAGAGAGAGAGAGAGAGAGAGGTACAATTGTGTATTCTCTTTTCATGTGGCGAAGTTCTTAGGCATTGATTTGAAACGTGAAAACAGCGACAGGTACCTTGTATGTATTCTATTCTGCTTTTCCCGGAAAGGAAAGAAAAAAAAAAAAATTGTGGAAGATGGTGCGCCCTTATATTTTCTCGTTCTTGGAAGGGACGCGGTCTTGATTTTCTTTGCCATGGACATTACGTGTATGCTGTGAATTGAAATCTCGCACGTTCTGTCTTCATTTGCAAGTGTTTATCTTTGCTTGAGGTATATGCTTGCAGGTCATTTCTCTTCTGTCTTTCTATGGTTATTTCACATTTTTTGTTTTTCTTTTCTTTGGGTTCTGGACCGTGGCTAGATA